TATGAATCCATATAAAGTCTTTGCTATCAACAAACGAATATTCGAGGGTCACTAATGCATTACCAATAATTTAATTTTAATTACAATAAAATCGTCTAGTTATTGTAATTGGAGTGTATTTTAGAAATGATGGTTCATTGAAAAATAAGCTCTATCAATGGGGATATATGGGGCATCTAACATGGCTAATCAACTAGTCTGACAGTCCATTTGACCAATCATGTACAGACATCTCATTGGAAATGAAATATGATAATTACATCCACCAATCATAGCACGGGATGGCAATTCTGTCCTGTGTGAGCCGTTTTATTCTACAATTTTATGGCGTATGGTTGAGAATTAAACCGTGTTCAATTCAGGTGCCCCACCCCAATTACGTCCCCTTAGAATTGGTTGTGCAGTAAAAGCATACTAGGCCATTGTTTGGCCCAATTTTGAAGAATTTATAAATTTTAGAATAATGATTAATGGAAAAATATGTTGTTGAAAAATAATGAAAAAGTTTGAAATTTGCATGTAATATTATTTTATTTGAAAAATGTATAGTTAAAATTAAGAAAGATAAAAATTTTAATGGAAGCCAAACAAGGCCTGATGTTTGTTTGATGATACAGTATTGTGTTAAATTTTATTAATTTTTATCAAAATTTTCAGACTTTTTTTTTTTTTTAAATTGTGAAACAAAGTTTGGCCCCTTTTTCTTCACAAACTTATTTTTTTAAAATTTATTTTCAACCATACATTCTTACATAATATAATTTTACAAGAAACTCCAAAATTTTTCCTTATTTTTTACCACACATTTCCAACAAAATACTATTCTAAAATGCATTTTGACCTAAAAATGAGACTCAAACATTGACTTTAATATGATTAGTAATTGATGGATTTAAAAAAAAAAAAAAAAAACAAACCCTTAAAATTTAACACTCAATTTTGTTCAAATTTTAATTAGAGCAAGAATAATGTTATACTTGCAAACTAAGCCCATGTTTGGTGGCATTTAAATTAAAAAAAAATTATGCTTTGAATAGTGTTTTTCAGAGAATGTAAGAGTAAAAAGTATAAAAAAATATGAGTTTACGCGTAAAATATTTTATTGTATGAATATATGGATAAAAATGAGTATGAGAAATAAATTATAATATATTAAAAACCACCAAGCAAGAGCCAAGGATTGTACATATTTAATGTGTCGGCGAATGATAAGATCAATAAAATAAGTATTTTATCCACATATTTAACTGGTATGTCATTTCACTCACATCATTTATCACATCACATAGAGAATCATCACTGGTTTGTACATATAGATCTTGTTCACAACTCTTATAAAATCCTTACAGTAAGAAATTTAATACTCTTTAATTGAATGAATAGCATTCAGGGTCCTGAACCCAGCCATATATTTGGGGCTGTCCGTGGGTTGGTTCGGTTCGATTTTGAAGAGATCTGAACCCACCCAAAACTTTCAGGTATTTAAAAAATGGACCCGTCGGGTCCAAATATAATTATGGAACCGTTCGGATTCGGTTCGGTTCGGGTCGGTTCGGTTCCGTACCATAATTAAATTTTTTAATATTTTCAGCAACACTACATAAATACAACTAATGACATTTCATTCTTAACTTTTACAAATTAACGTAATCTAATTTAATAACATATAAATAATAAGTTGTCAAATACAAATACGAAAAAGTAAATAATACAGGTGTATAACGTAATTATTTTGTCAAATATGGTCTGTATAACAAACATTTTGATAAAAAGTTCTANCGAGTATTTAATTTATGAAGAACCACTCGATTCGATTCGGTTCGGTTTCGGTTCGGATCGGAACTTTTGGACACCCCTACATATATCTGTATATATTGCAATTTAAACATTGTTTGATCTCCATTTTTATTAAAATACATTTTTCTATCTTTTCTTTTCAATTATACATTTTTCAATAAAATAATATTATATGCAATTCAAGAATTTTTCTTTCATTTTTAACCACGTCTTCTCCATTAATCTACTACTCCAAAATGCATTTTACTCAACAAAAAAAAGGGCTCAAACAGATTCTTAATTATCAGCGCAATTATAGAACTTTAATCAGAATAAATAGTTACACTAATACGTTATCAAAGCTCACGGCAATCATGCCAAGCCATTCGAGTATGGGCCAACAAGAGAAAAAAGAACTCTAGATTCAAAAGATTAGAGAATAAATATGTTGCAAATTTCGCTTTTTACCATGTAAGAGTTGAAATAAATAAATAAAGATTCAACAAATGCCTCGTCAATGATAGAAACAATATACGTTAAAACAAATATGTTTAGTTCATAATAGATTATAAATATTTAACCTATTTAATTGTAACAAAAAATGCATATGTATTTTAATAATTAGACCGTTTTTCTGCTAGAACAATTAACATGGGATTATTGCTAAAAAAAAACATGTTACATAACGTTAAAATTATTATTTTTTTGTCTTCTCCTTTCTCCAATGGAACGCACATGTCATCAATGCCTGCACATGATAGTAGCAGCCCCCTTCATTGGATTTTCTTGACCATAAATGATTGAAAAATTTTTAAATTTTAAAATTCAAACTCACTTGTGAGTTAAGAAAATAACATTAATTACACCATGGTGAAAAAAATATTCACGAGTCCTCGAATAAACTCATTATTAATGAAATTTTTATTATTTATGAAGTAGATGAGTATGTTGTTCTTCGTCATTGACACATTCGCATTGTACCCTCCTCAAAATTAGACCGGAATGAACAACGTGACCCTTACCTCGAATTTTTTGAATCTACCTCAATTCTATTTAGCCATGTTTGACAATCATTTCTCGTAGAAAATGGAGTTTTGAATGATGATTTTTAGGAGAATATATGGTTAAAAAATATAGAAAAGTTTTAGGTTTATGTGTTGGATTGTTTGAGTCCCATTTTTTTTTTTCAAAAAATGCATTTTGCAATATATTATGATAGAGAATGTGCAGTTAAAAAATAAGAGTTTTTTTTTTAATTGCGTGTAATATTATTTTATTAAAAAATGTGTTGTTAAAATGGGGTCAAATCATTGTAAAATAATCCATTTTGATATAAAAAAATGGGGTTCAAACAAGAACGTGTGAATGTATGATTGAAAATGATTATGTAGAAAAAAGAGTTAAAACATGATGGTAAAAATGGGCTTATTTTGTTGTATTGTTATATTTTAAGTTATATTTAAAAGTAAATAATAACAATGGAACAGTAAAATGAGAGTTTTTTTAAAATCTTGTTATGCTCTCTTAAAAATGAAAAATGCTGCAACAACAGGAAAAAAAAATCAGATTTTGTATAGAAATTTGAATTTCCCTCACATGAGACGCGATTCCCACTTGAATTAAATATTGACAAAAAAATGTGGGTCCAACTGTGTTTTCTGTGGTTTCTGTGGGTTAATTTTCGCGCCCATAACTGAAATGGCAAAGACCTCACTTTAGGCACAAAGTAAAAAAAGGGTATAAAAGGATTTGGCGCAAGATTTTCCCCGTCACACTTATAATAGTAGATTTGCCTTTTACCATGCTACTTTTTTCAGAAAGTATATTCAGTACTCAAACGTGGCACCTCGAGTGAATCAAACATTTTTAACCCAAAGAAGTATGGTAATATTTCATTATTGGTCCTCAATTTATTGTAACAGTAGAAAGATTATCATTAATGTTCAAAAGAGAGCAAATTAATCCTCAATTTTTAAATATTATTGTACAATTAGAGAATAAGCCCTTGTTTGCCCCCCATCAAATTAAATTCCATTACATTAATTTTCTCTCTCTTCATCTTAACCATACATTCATCAAATAAAATAATAATTTACACAAATCTAAAACTTTTCAACCACACATCTCCCATCAATCACTATTCTAAAAATTTTCAACCCCCTCAAAATCCCAAATAATGGGGGCCAAACAGGGGCTAAAAGTGTCCAATGAATTCCTCACCATGTCTATGCTTATGAGTGCCGTTAAGTGATTATAAATGAGGGATTATAAAAATATATGAATGAAAAATGAATAGTAAACATGGACCACACAAAATGTATAAATAAAGAATAATGCTATATGTACAAACTTGAAATGATCTCCATGGAATATATCATTAATGATAAAGTCAATAAAGTGACTCATATTCACATGTTTGTACATACAACATAGCAATATTCATAGATGAATAGTATGTTTGATAAATTTAAATTATAATTAAACTTGTCAAACATGCACTCAATCAAATGAAACTATGCGTTGTGTTATCGACTTGAACATTAAGACTTGGTATGTCTTTATAAATTTAAAGTAACATGAGAGTCACACAACAATTTGATGCATAAAATAGTTGCAAGTTTTTAAGGATTGATATTTTGATTATCAACTTTCAATTAAGCAACAGACTGTGAACTTACTATAGTAGAGAACGAGTTGAGAAGAGACACTGTTTTACTAAGGCAAATTGACAACGTGACAAAGATTTTGGTTCCATAATTACGGACCTATTGTGCTACACCGGTGAAATATAAGAGACTAACTTGCCATCTTTTAAAGATTGGAAACTAACTTTCTATTGAAACAATAAGTTTACGAGCAATAGTGTTATTTTCCCAAAAACTTTTACAAATCATCTTACATGAACATCAAGGCTCACCTAAATTTTGATATAATATCATTGAACAGTTTAAAATACAGTTAATTTTTTCGTTAAGTTATCTACTATGACGTGCAATTATGTTAATCTTTTTGATAAAGTAGCTTAATCGGAACTTTTAATCTCCCACGTCCCGTCCAGCACGTTATTGTACATATATAAATCCATTCACCTCCCATTTGCACTGGACCCTTGAAACTTTTGTGTTGCTTCCATCACCACATGCCACCGCTTCCGCCGCCGTCTCCACCCTCCACCACCGCATAAAAATCACTCCTTTTCAGCATTTCATCAATATCGCCACCACATGGCTATCACAAAGCAACCCTCCGGTGATATCAAAACCCGAGTGAACAGTTGCCTTAATAAACTCTCAGACAGAGACACCCTTTCCATGGCTACCAATGAATTGGAGTCTATAGCTAGAAATCTTTCGACCGAATCATTTGGCCCTTTCTTGAACTGCCTTTCCGCCACCGACTCGTCGGATAAGTCGCCGGTCCGCCGTCAGTGCGTCCGCCTTTTGGGAATTCTATCCGCCTCCCACGGAGACGCTTTGTCGCCTCACCTATCTAGGATGCTCTCTTCCGTCTTCCGTCGCCTCCGGGACCCCGACTCCTCCGTCCGCTCCGCCTGTGTCGACGCGATAACCTCCATTACCACCCACGTAACAAAGCCTCCTTTCTCTGCCATTCTCAAGCCCCTTGTAGACGCTCTTTTCCACGAGCAAGACCAGAACTCACAGATCGGTGCTTCGCTGTGCTTAGCTGCCGCTGTGGAGGCGGCGCAGGAACCCGACATGGTGGAGCTGAAAACGCTCTTGCAGAGGCTGTTGAAATTAGTAAAAAGTGACTGTTTCAAAGCGAAATCTTCTTTGTTAGTGCTCATTGGCAGCATTGTGAGCGTTGGGGCTGCTAAATCCAAGAATTTATTGAATTGTTTGATTTCGGCCACTGTTGAGCTCTTGAGCAATGAAGATTGGGCCACCAGAAAAGCGGCAGCGGAGGTTTTAGAGAGGCTGGCCACGGCGGAGACAAATATGTTACCGGAGTTTAAGGCTTCTTGTGTTGCTACATTGGATAGCAGAAGATTTGACAAGGTAAATAGCTTTTTATGTAATTATTTAATCACTTTGTGAAATCTGAGATTATGGAATTATATTATTAGACCTTTTCTGGCAGCGCATAAAAAGCATCCAAGAATACTGCTTAAAAGCTGCTTATAAGCGTGACCAAACGTAAAGAGAAGAAAAAACTTGATTCTCAGTCTTATTTCTTTTTCTTTGATGTAACAGGTGAAAGTTGTGAGGGAGACAATGAATCGGGCATTAGAGATGTGGAGAGGTGTTCCAGCAGTATACGAAGAGGAATCCACATCAAAAGGTAATTGAGAATTTCTATTTTTCCGTCCTTTTCCTTTTCCTTAATCTAATGTTCTATGAATTTGATCACCGTGGTGATAGTGAAGTGTTGTTTCTATGTTAATTATGAACGAAATTTGGTTATTTTCAGTATAAAAGGGGTAAAAAATTTGTACTTATTTTATTTTTGTATGATTTCTAGTTCATTTGACAAAGTAGTTCTATCCCAAGGTATGAAAAATCTGCAATGAACAAGGAATTAAAATTTGATGTACAACAACGTATTTAATCTTACACATCTGCTAAATTCCTTTTCAAGATAGAATTTACGCCTCGAATGTATATTTTTGACATGAAACCTAGTTTTCGTGAATCAGATGGTGGAAGTGGCGAACACTCCCCCATACGGATTTCGACAAGTCCCGCTAATAGTGGCTCGGTGACTCCTCGAGTAAAGAAAATGCTGACAAGCAGGTCACCTGCATCTAGTAGTTCTTCTATAGCCAGCAATGAGAAAAGAACTCTAAAAAGTGAAAACAGGAAGCCAATTACTTCTAGATCGAGTAAGGTTGATTTTGGGAAAAGCTTTCGGTTTCGTGTGGTTCCTTGTAATGGGAATGACGACAATGTGTTTGATATGGCTACCGACAATGCTAATGAATGCAACCTTGGGGATCAAAAAGAGTTCGAGGATATTTCATTGATTAGGGAACAGCTTGTGCAAATTGAAAACCAGCAATCTAGTTTGTTGGAGCTCCTCCAGGTACTGCTCTCTTTTGTTGTACCTTATATAATCAAGGGTTTTTTTTGGATAAAATTTACTCAAGGGGAAAGAAAAATGATGTTGTTGGTTAAATTTTAGCTTCTGCATTGGAAGCCTGCTCGTCTCTTAGACTTGAGTACGTTTATTCAGCATATCGATGAGATTTCATGAACAAACACTGGTTTTTGTTTTCTTTGAGGGTTCTTGTTTACACGGATCAATCCAAGTAAAATGGATAATTTTCTATGATTTGTTGACATTCAAAGAATTGAGTCGGAAAGAGAATGGGAATTAGCAGATAGAAGAATCCGAGAAAAAGGAAATTTTGTGACTGAAATCTTTTGGACTTCTTTATGTGCTGAGTTATTCATATAACCTCGTTTAATTGCTGTTTTTTTCAAATGCTTTCATGCTACTTCAAATTTTTTATGCTTATTGGATGACTTATCAAGTAATTAAGTTCTACAAGCCAAGTACTTATTTCAACTATGGCCTTTTTCGTATCAGAGATTTATTGGAAACTCCCAGAAGGGGATGAATTCGTTGGAAAAACGAGTAAATGGTCTGGAGAAGGTGCTAGACGAGATGTCACGTGATTTAGCTATTTCAACTCGAAGAACTCCGAGCAGTGATTCTAATGGAAACGCATGTTGTCTGATACCCGGAGCAGAATTTCTGAGTCCAAAGTTTTGGAGGAAAACCGAAGGACAAAATTCCAATGCCAAGTTCTTTTCTAGTGTTACGGAATAAGGCTGTAAATGATTTTGACATATCGAAGCTGGAAAGCCCAAGAACTGATGAATACATGAATCTTTATATTGAAGGAGGCACTAATGTCAAATTTCGGCTGCTTAAAATAGTTCACTACCCGTTGTTTCAATTAGTTTATCTAGTTTTTATTTTGGTTAGAAAACGTACTAGTTTTTTATGTGTACAAAAAATGTGATCGCAAGATGCTGGTGAAATTCTTTCAAATGGTCTCTCTCCCTCGTGAATTCTCTGTTCTTTTACACAGTCTCAACTATTTGATCGTTTTAACGAAGTCTAAAATTATTGATTAAATAGAAAATACAAATTTGAATATATTGGAAAGGTATAGCCACTTGAATCAACATGTACACATAGCATAATCCATATTGGAATGATGATTTAAAAAAAAAAAAAAAATCATGCATTGGACTTCTAGTTTTTATTGAGAAAAGTTTGCTGATAACATGTTTTGAACATTTTTAAGAAGATTAAAATTGCAATGAAAATGATGTTCAATGGAACTAATTGTACTTGTCGTCATTGACGTAATGTTTATATCGAATTGAACCAGACATTTTTATTTTGGACTTTTCAAATGTTCTTTCAGAATCACGTTGCATGTTCTGCACATGGGACTCTTCAAATATTCTTTTAGAATTAGCTTGTTGCTGTCTTTGCACCAAAGCAACTATGTCCCCTTTTGATTCAATTAAAAAGTTAAATTAAATTAAATCAAGGTCAATAATTAATTTCAATCATACATTTTATTTGATTCCCAATTTTTTAACCACATTCCTCAATATTTATCTAAATTTACTAAAAATCTAATTTTTCTAAACCAAACATGAGCTATATTCATTGTATCCAAGTAGACGTATTCCAATTTTCGCTACATGGTTGAATCACTGTAATAACTCTGAAAGCTACAAATAGAATTTGCAATTTCCAACAAGTGGAAATTACACTCTCCCCTATATTTGGAGATTCAAATTCTAAAATCAGATTTAGTGTTTTAAGTTTCAAAAATCAGATATTTAAATTTATAGATACAGATTTTTTTATATTTAATTAAATATTATGAAAATTAAATTATATACCACACCCACCCCTAAAATTATCAAACCTAATTCTCTCACGCCGCTCTCTCTTTGCCCGTCTCTCATTTCTGTTTCTCCGTAGCGGCGCCGGTGGTGCTGACCTTCTCTCTCCTCCTCCCTCCCTCCCGTCTCCACCCTGATTCACGTCGCGCGACGCTGCCCTAATTCGCAGCAGCGTCGCTCATTCGACGCTGCTGCTAATTTGCAGTAGCGAATCGCAACAGCAGCTGCAATTCAGCGGCGGTGCGCGACGCTGCTCAATTCGCAGCTGTGGTTTGTGTTCTTTGCTGTGGTGGTGCGAGTGGCGGCGGTTCAGTGGTGTTGCGTTGGTGGGTTTGCTGGTGGCGTTGGGTTGTCTTCTAAAGGCTTTGGGTGGTTTTGGATTTGGGTTTGCTGGTGGCGTTGGGTGGTCTTCTAAAGGCGTTGGTGGGTTTGGTGGTGGCGTTGGGTTGCCTTCCAAAGGCAGTTCGACGGGTCAATGGAGTTCGATGTATCTGGAATTTTTAGGCTGTTTTTATTGGTGGTGGTTGGTGTTATGTAAATTGTGGTGGTTGGCGTTAGGGCATGTAAGACGGTGGTGGTGGTCAGATGGTGCTGTATAGTCTTTGTGACCTATGCTGTGACCTGAGCCATGTGCTGTGACAAGGGGTGTCCAAAAGTCCCGAACCGAACCAGACCGAACCGAACCCGATCCGAACGGAATCGAGCGGTTCTTCATAAATTAAATACCCGAACGGGTACCCGAATCGAGAACTGATGGGTTTGGGTCGGGTCTCGGGTCTAGACCAAGAACCGAAACTAAATAATTTTTTTATTTTTTATATTGAATTAATTAAATTATTTTATTTTTTTCTATACAAATTAGCAAATTAATTGAATAAATTAGATTATTTCATAATTTTAATTTTTAAGCCCAAATCATTTTAAAATCCATTAGCCCATTTTAATTTGAAATAAATGAATATACTTTATGTAGTTTTGTTATAATATTAATATCTACTTTTTGGTATTTGTATGCATTGAATTAATCTTATTGGACGGCTAGTTTTGTATATGTTTTTGAATTGTGTTACGTTAATTTGTAAAAGTTACGAATGAAATGTCATTAATTGTATTTATGTAGTGTTGCTGAAAATATTAAAAAATTTAATTAGGTATGGAACTGAAAGGAACCGAATCGAACCGAACTTGAACTGTTCCATAATTATATTTGGACCCGACGGGTCCATTTATTAAATACCTGAAAGTTTTGGGTCGGTTCGGCTCTCTTCAGAACCGAACCGAACCGACCCACGGACAGCCCTAGCTGTGACCTATGCTGTGACCTGAGCAATGTGCTGTGATCGATGCTGTGACTATCAATTAAAACCTGAGCCATGCACATGAATATTCTGTGATCTGTGCTGTGGCCATTTGAAATAAACCTGTGACCATCAACCAGAATTTAAGTCATTTGAAAATAACATAGGACTATGAACAAAATCGTGAGTCGTGTGCAATATATTATGTGACTTGTGATGTGACCATTTGAAAATAACCCGTGAATATTAAAATTTTTTTTATCAATCATTATAAACAAACAAACATGTGCTGTGACCTGAACTGTGACTTGTGACTTATGACTTGTAATATGGACTGTGACCATACAACAGATAAGCAGTCGTCGGAACGGTCGCCGGAGTAGTCGCTGAAATGATCACCGGAACGGTCGTCGGAGCAGTCACCGGAGAGGTCGCCGGAGCAGGAGCGGTCGCCGCAGCGATAGGGCTGATGGAGGTGGCGGTGGGTTAGTTTTATATATATATAAAACTAACCCACCGCCACCTCCATCACCCCTATCGCTGCGGCGACCGCTCCTGCTCCGGCGACCTCTCCGGTGACTGCTCCGACGACCGTTCCGGTGATCATTTCAGCGACTACTCCGGCGACCGTTCCGACGACTGCTTATCTGTTGTATGGTCACAGTCCATATTACAAGTCATAAGTCACAAGTCACAGTTCAGGTCACAGCACATGTTTGTTTGTTTATAATGATTGATAAAAAAAATTTTAATATTCACGGGTTATTTTCAAATGGTCACATCACAAGTCACATAATATATTGCACACGACTCACGATTTTGTTCATAGTCCTATGTTATTTTCAAATGACTTAAATTCTGGTTGATGGTCACAGGTTTATTTCAAATGGCCACAGCACAGATCACAGAATATTCATGTGCATGGCTCAGGTTTTAATTGATAGTCACAGCATCGATCACAGCACATTGCTCAGGTCACAGCATAGGTCACAGCTAGGGCTGTCCGTGGGTCGGTTCGGTTCGGTTCTGAAGAGAGCCGAACCGACCCAAAACTTTCAGGTATTTAATAAATGGACCCGTCGGGTCCAAATATAATTATGGAACAGTTCAAGTTCGGTTCGATTCGGTTCCTTTCAGTTCCATACCTAATTAAATTTTTTAATATTTTCAGCAACACTACATAAATACAATTAATGACATTTCATTCGTAACTTTTACAAATTAACGTAACACAATTCAAAAACATATACAAAACTAGCCGTCCAATAAGATTAATTCAATGCATACAAATACCAAAAAGTAGATATTAATATTATA